GAGCAAGGGTGAGTCAACGTAGCAGGTAATCCTACTGGTAGCCAAAACATCCAAACTCCAGAACCTCCTCGTTTAATCCACCAGAATCTCAGCGTGATATTTAATCCGCGTGGAATTACCACCGGTCAGTTAAAACAGCGCGCTGTTGAGCCGTAGAGCTTCAGCAGAGTCCAGGGCCTTTGTTTAGTAGATCAGGAAGGTCAAAAGCCTGGTGCCTCGATATCACCTACGGGGGGCATTTTGAACCTTATCAATGACTGAAAGCTCTGCTGTTATGATAGTCCAGCCGCCTAAAGTGTGGCTTGTTATCATTGTTCAACATGGCAGTTCAAATGTTAGACTAAACACAGCATTGGACTGAGGCTGATTGAACTAAAACTGCTTTTTTTCAGTCCCTGCATTGCACAAATAACACTGACATTCGGTTTGATTCGTTTTGATTTTTTGTTGTTGTTGTAATTCTCAAAGCATTGTCAGTATGGCCGCATGTTCTGCACCCTCCAGGGTCCCTCAGGTCGGCCACAGTGGACCACGGCTCCATGGAAACACGCTATCAACACCCCATAGATTATGATGCCACACACACATGTTGTTGTTGGCCTTTAGTGTCAAAGGGTAGGCTGCAGAAGTTTCCTTTTATTAATTGCCTGTGTGTGTGTGTGTGTGTGTGTGTGTGTGCGCGCGTGCGCACACGCTCCGTATGCCCAAGATAAAACCTGTCAAACAGTGGAGGTGACCCCAGCAGGATACGGGGCATCCAGCGCGTGTCGGGACAGGACCTCGGGGCAGCACAGCAACACCGTGATTTACTCTTCAAAGACGAGCTCATGATAGTATTTCATCTGCATCTTAACCCTCTTTAACCCGCTAACGGGCTGTATACACTACGGTGTCACAGGGTGGAGTGTTACACGGCAGCTCAAATAAACAGCCTGGACAGGCGACGCTTTGTGATGCCACATCAATTCACATGTGTAAATAGCAGTAGTTTGATATCGGGATTTACTACTGTCATCGCAAACACAAACTCCTCTCGGGGAGGGGTTTAAAGTTTAAAGAAATGAAAAGCAGACCAGACTATTGATTTAACCTGAATAGTAGAATATCCATTCACCGTCAGCAGGTCATGTTTAACACTACAAAGCGTTTGTTAGTGCCAGAGAATGATGAAACCATAAAAAACGATATATATATATAAATAAATAAATGGAAATAAAAGTAGTTTCTGTTAAAAGAAGTTGACATATTGTACATATTGAGTAGTATTGTCTACATAATACAAAGTGTGTTATACTGAAGCATACTTGTCAGTATGTTCTATTTTGAGTGTCTCCTATTAGGCGGCTGACCTTGGCACTAGTCTTATGCGAGGGGTCTTCAAGGAAGTAACATTCCCAAATGAATCTGCCAGCTATAGATGACCGTTTGGCAACACCTTTGTACTCCCCCAGCTGTCTTCAAGCTGTGGAAGACAGCTGGTTTAATGTACGCCACGAGACTGTTTAATGCAGCTCGATTTATAACAGCCTGTCCTGATTAAAGAGGCGACACCGGTGTTTTGTTAAGTCTTTTTTTCTCTCCAGCACCATCACCAAGTCCAACTACGCTTTTGTCCTTGGGGCTTGCAATCGGAGATGCATTCTTTGGTGTCGGCTTTGTGTCTCCCACCCTCTGCATGGGGCTTACGTCTGGGCAACTACTGGTCTTAATCCACTGTCCAGCCACTGCCCGGGAGGGGGCACAGATAGCTCAGTAAGACGAGGCCACCCAGTCGAGATTAGGGGCAAAAGAAATGGATGGGAATCTATGGATCCGTGATAAACCAAGTCTATTGGACTAAGTAAAGTGGTTTAGTAAACGCCTACCATCAGACTGTAGTGTTTATGATTTAATACCCGGGTTTATGCTTTGACCTGAAAGGGAAAAACAGGGATGAGTCATTCATGCTTCTACTACTTTCATACTCTGTAATAGTTGCTTGCTTTGAGCGTGTCATCATGCGTCTGGCTGAACCTTCTGTCCTGCCACCATCTTCTATTATACTATATTGAATAGTTCTTAAAATACTGTTACCCACCAATGTTGAAGTCATTTAAGAGTTTTATTTTTCTTTGTTGCTCCTACCGTCACAGCGTTTTCCCCCAATGTTTTCACTCCATAGCAAAGTTTGAGTAAAATAATTAGATTTGGCGTCTGGTCGTCCTGATAAGGTGCTCTGCAGGAAGTTGTAGTGTGCGATGAGTTCCTGTGAGCTGGACAGTTGTGAAGGACCGAATAGGAAGTGGAGAAGGGAAAGAGGATGCAGATCATATCACCTCAAGAATGAGGACATGGTCAATGAAGCCCCTTAAAAAAACATGCCTACGACGGGGCGGATTCCAGATGTATCGTTTGCATCTGCCTTTGTGTTGCTGATGGACTTTTCCTCATGTCACTTCATTCGCATTCTTGCTTTTTCTTTCTTTTAAGGAAATGAAGTCACTGGCAACTAAAGACACTTTTCCCAGGCTCTTTGTCGTTCCCGGATTAGTTTTAGGATTGTAGGCCTTCTGTAGTTTTTTTGACCCAGCTTTGGATGTAATGAGGCAGGCAGTGTATTGCTGCAAAGGACTGGTCATTGGGTGATTAGACGCCCTCACTGAGTGTTGTTTGAAATAGCAGCCTGTGTTTTTTCTAGCGGGGGAGCGGCATCACTCTGGCCTCATTTAGACTGGGAACCACCACCACCGCTGCAGTGGGGGGAGGAGCCCCTTCACACATAGCGATACTTTGCCGATCATGTAACAAAGAGACCCATCAAACACCAGGACGCCACATAAACTCGCGCACCGCGACTTTCCCGCTTCCAACTGCTGCCCGCCCGTCGGACACCTCTCAGCACCTCTTCCTTTCCTCTACGATCCCTTCCAGGCCGCCCCTTTTTTGCGGCGACCAATAAAGCATTAGCATTCCCTAATGCCCAATTTCACACCCGGGGTCGACGTCATCCACGAGCATGCGAGAAAAAGCCTCGTGCCAAGAGGGACGCAATCTTCATCTTTCATGTGGCTCTCTGTGAAAAGCGGCCGTCTTATCTGCAGCCTTTCACGCGTCGGCCTCCGAGCCCCGTACCGGCTCTCCATGTGAGCTCGCACAGTAGTCGCTGGCTACTGCAGCGGGCTCTTCAGATAGACACGATGCCTACCTGCGTTATGGAGACAGATTAATGATGTTAGTATCCGAGGCAACCGGTAGACGTACTACGCTGCTTTTTTTAAATGAGCGTGTCCAGTAGAGTGATCTGAACGCCGACGAGATATGAAACCACTTTCATACTGGGTAATAAAGCCAGAGACAATTACGACACCCGCGTTGCTATGGTTACAGCTGGTTGTTTGTTTGAGACTGAAGAACTGGTAAATCTCTCTCGACAAACGCAATTTAATGTTCAATTCCACCAAGAAAGGGGACAACAGTCGGAGGTTGTGTAATTATTCTATTGTTTATTTAAGTTTGATGAATGCATGTACAAATCTCTCAATTTCAGCAGTACCCCTACACCTGCATCTTTTCGTAATTACGTCATTGATTAGTGTTCCTTCTTTGGATTGGCGTGAAAACAATCATTTAATCAGCCCAGTGATGGTACAGTCAGTACTGAGCAGCAGGTCGAGGAGTAGACGGGCGGCGGGGTCCTTTCTGATAAAGGCTCATGCAGTAAGCCCCAGTGGATGGCCTCCTCCTGGGGGGGGGCGTAATGACTTCCCCAGCTGGCCCCCTGGGACGACTGCGCTCGTGCTCCGCACCTCTCCTGGCTGCTTTGAGCCACTACGGTGTTTGTTTTGGGAAGATTAGCAACGTAAAACCCTTACAACATCCTGAACACGCAGCGCAGGGAGACGCAATGGAGAGGACAGCGGGAGAGAGGAGCAGAGATTGATGGGCGGGGAGACATCGGAGGACCGAGGAGGGATTTTCTGATCAGCAAGACAGCGGTTCGGGTCAAGAATGCGAGTGAGAGCGAGACAGAGAAAGAGACTGATGGGAAAAAGGAGGTATAATAATAATAATAAATGTAATCCAATTTGAAAGGTGGTCTCTTCTAGAAGGCGTCCACAGTACTGTAATGGTGTCCTGTGGTCTTTGTGCAGAAAGCATCTATCAAAGCTTTTCTCAAGGACCAAACGTGGCAACCGAATCCCTCAGTTGCCCCCCATGATGGATATTTATAGACACTAAACTGCTTGGTGAATGCACCTGTCTGGCTGAAGCTGTCCTCGGGTAGTGTGTAAATGGTCAAGTGCTTCTTTTATCTGATCTGAACGGCTCTCCTGTTGCGCTGGGGATACAAAGCAATGATGTGCATAGAGTACATTTACACACTGGCTAAATCATTCATAAGATGCTTTTCTACGCTTTCCTTCCAAGTGGCCACGTTTAGCTTCAATCGGTCGGTGCGAGCGCGAGTGAATGAAGAGACCTTTTCTGAGCTGCGTTGCACCTGGTGTGTCACAGGTGTGTGTGTTCAGCCGCGGCAGGAAACAGATGTGCGGTGATATCAACGGCAGCACAGGTCTGTGAAACTATCAGCATGGCCCCAGCCTGCGTCTCACTGCATTGAGACACTTCCTGTGGGCTTAAATCATGCCAGCTCATGATTGGGAAAGAAAGAGGAGGAGCAGAGCTCTGCGCTAACAGCGCTGCTGTGTTTGAGATAAAACTGTAGCTGCCTGATTATGAATCCTAGTGATTAAAGAAAGCTGGTAAGAGGGCGGATGACAAGCTAAGTAATAGGGGGTCTGTTGGTAACTGATTGTTGGGAATGACTTGAGAGAAGAAACAATGAAGTTGCCCCATGAAACAGATGAGTAGCAAATGCAACCTTGGCAATCCATGAGGGCTCACGCTCCTGATAACAGGCAGGAAGTGTGAGGGGGAATCGTTGTCCTCCTGGATAGGTTTGAAGCTTTGAACACTTGCATGTTTAAAAAAAACAACACCTTTTTTTATTCTCTTTACAGCCCCTGTCCGGAGCAAGGAATGGGTGACGAATTCAACCTCATGGATCATTCTGACCTGTATATCTTAGACTTCAGTAAGTATTCTTTGTGTAATCCATGTATGTGACATGGATTACCTCATCTTCCACATGTAGATATTCAGACCCACGACTGCAGGTTGTCATTGTTAAAAAGGCGTTAAACTTGTTAGCATGTATTTCAGTTAATGGTTATTATGATGCTTTCAAGCTCCAGTAGAAATAAACATATATTTAAAATGTTTTCAAGTGTTACCTTGTAAAATGTAGAATAAAGAAATATAAAATAGATTTAGATTGGAAATGAGGAGATATTTAACTTGTTGAAAAAAACATACATTTTCTTCAAGATGTTTTTTTTAACCTATTCTAGTTTTAGATTAGATTTTAGATTATTTTTCAGTTTACACTGACTTTAGGGTGGTGGAAATTATTTTACAACTTAGTGCTTCCTGTCAAATAAAAATCTGCCAAAATAGAAATTGGGATTTTTTTTAAAATAGGAAAAATTCAACCGGTTCATCTCAAATTTTCCGCCACCTTGACTAAAGTTAAAACGCTATCCTCAGGTGTCCTCAAAACATTTTATACAACCAACACCGTACACCACTGCTTCCTTCACCCCTCATGCCAGGCCACGGCCCTGCGTTGTGCTGAAACACTGGGTACTTCCGTCTCTTGCACTACCACATATGGGCATTTCCTCCCTGCGCCGGGGTCGCCTGTGATGCTGTCGGGTCACAGCGTGTGTAGGCGGGCTTGCACAGGGACACGGGGGCCGTATGGGACTGCCAGTACTCGGCGGCATCCCCTGTGGCACACGCTGCCACGTGCCAGTCGCCTGCACACTGTTTATCACCGGACATATGGCGGAGCATAATTGAGAGGAAGTTTGTAATGGATGTAAAAAGATGATTTGTGCAATAAGGTGATTCAACACTGTCCTAATGAACACTGTTGTTTGTCTCAGCTGTTTTTCTCTGGGCTTTGAGCGAAACAAGCCTGTGTCTCATTACACTTTCTCTTCTTTTCAGGCCCTAATTTGAAGATGTTATGCAAAATAGCTGTTATTCAATACAGTCTGGAGCAGTCAGGACTCCCACATGATCTCAGGTCAGACAAGCATCCTCTTCTCAAACATTCGCTATTCGCTCATAGCGTTGACTTATCTTTTGTTCATGCTGTTTGTCATTGTTGCCGCCACTCCGTCCCTCTCAATAATGAGGCTGTTTTTCAAATAGGAAAATTACGGCCCATCATCCTTTATTTAACCAGTGGTACCTTTCACGCAAGCTTTTGTCTGAATTTACATTAAATCCGTCAATGTAATGTTTCTATGTAATTGCATCCGCCTCCTGCTAATAGCACAGAGATTTGTGTATGGAAAGAAATGAGACAATTATGTTGAAACTTAAAAGACTTCTTGGGTAGTCCAGGTGACAAAAGGCACGTTACCACCAAGTGAGGATCGCTGATTACGCAATATCTCAATATGCCTCTATTCATTTTGAGTATTTGGATACATTTTTCCTCTCTCTCTTCACAAAATTTCTAGTTAAACATATTTAGGCTCCAAAAACACGTTAACATTTACTGGAAATAAAACTCGAGACATTTCATGCTAAATAGTGTATTCGACACTCTGAGTGCCACTATTGGTTCTGTTCTCATGACTTCTTTGTAACAATAGGAGTCACCGGCTCGGCCAATAGAAGAACTCCTGTCATCGGCTGTTTGAGCTGCGAGTTTGCAGAACAAAGCCATACTCGTTATATACATCCAGGGACACGCTCTCCAATATTTTGGAATATATAGGAAAATCCCCAAAACCCAGAGTTTTATTAACCTTTTTATTGGGCTTTACATCATGACAAAATAACCTGTAACCATAGCAACTCTCTCCTGCCTGTCTGCTCAGCCAGAGGAGAGCTGCTGACCGTCTTAACTTTGAGAGCTTCAAAGGGTCTGAAGTTGGAAGCTCTTCCCAAATCATTTGGGGCCTCGTAGCCTCGGAAGTCCCGGAAGCCCCCGGCCATTGAGCCTGAAGGGCCTGCATGAGGCCCCTTAGTCCCACTGATACGGAACATAACAGGCCACAATATTCTATCATTCTATTTCAAGCATGTAACTATTTCTAACCGTAATGAATCTTCATTATGCAAGTAGATCTGAGCTTGTGAGGTCCACCGATGTGACATTTTTTATTTCCCTTTTTTCTAACACATTGACCCCGTGGAACTTGATACTAATTACTCCTCTTGGCGTCTCATTTTTCTTGCACTGTCAGTGCCACCTTGCGCACTCCCCACTTTGCCGTTGCGTTTGTAACCCCGAGTGGCTGTCTCCGGGGGGGGGGGGGGGTCACAGGACTTTGGTTAACTCCCTTTGCCCCCCTCACTGGCATCTCCAGCTCCAGCGTGCCAAGCTCCCTTCTTAAAACACACACAAGCGCGCACAACAAAAAAACGAACAACGCGATTGAGAGGGAGTGAGTGTGAAACCAGAGCCAGTGATAACAATCTGGGGCTCAACTTCTGACCTGTCAGCAGGTCAGCACTAGACCCTGTTGTCAGGTCCCGCTCCTGGTTCTCGTGTTTCAGCGTGGGGGGGGGGGTGCTGCTCCCCTCATCCTCGTCCAAATCGTAGCCCTTCAAGCCTACAAGGGGAGAGGGGTGGGGGGCAAATGTCACACAGTTGCTTGATTGACTGTCATTGTTTTCCAGGGCCGTAGCTATTTCAAAACAACGAAAGTCAAGCTGTTAGTTAATAAAAGCATCAGGATTTTGAAGTAGAGATGAAGAATTCCAAACAGACCAACTAATGAGCATTCAACAGCACCCCCCATGATTAAAAAGTATACTGGAGTCTTCCCGAAGGTTAAAAAGTTGCTTCAAAAGTGTGACTTTAAAAAAAAGTCTCACTTCAACTGCAATCTCTGGATCTGAATGAATAAAGCGTATATTTATGCAGCATCATTTGGGAACCACGGTGAAACATTTGGACTTTAGCAAAAGTGCAAGAATTTCCTGAGAGTGAAAAAGACTGAAATTAGAGTCCGGTTCTTTGGCCCGTCTGGGTTAATAACCGGCACCGCTTAAAGGCAACGATAAATTGTGTTTCTCTTTTGCTGTCACTTAAGATCCTTGCTTCTGATTCCTGCTGTTTTTCTCTCTAGGTGGGAACTGGCGGCCATGACCACCAACAGCAACATCAGCAGGCCCATCTTCTCGTCCCACGGCTGACGCAGCAGAATGTAAAGCAGAACAGGGACTGCCCGCTCCGATTCAGGACACCGAGCTTTTAATCCTTCTAATCAAACTGAGCTCCGATGGACTGTTTTTTTTTTTTGGGGTAGAGTTTGGACCCTTACAGGATTTCTTTCCCCCCACGTTAACTTCAAGTGACAACTCATTACTGACCAAGAAATCCCACATGTGAATTCCTCGGACCCCGCGAGCGCTGTCGCGTCGCGTTTCAACACCCGAGACGCTTAAAATCTGTTTCACCTTCTTGTCTTCTTTTCTAGCATCTCTAGAAATCCAATCAGCCTATGATAATCATAGACTTCTAACCACAGGCACAGGGAGGGACGAGGACCTCAAGGTATCGAGAAGTCAACTCCTTGTCCACAGACGTGAACCCTTTTGTTTTAGCTCTAAAGAGGCCGAGGTGGTCATCAGTTTGTAGGTCTAGCAGCTCCACCGTGGTCATAAACCCATGGAGAAACTGCCACGTCAACCAAGCAGAACCAATCAACTTGTTACCTAGGTGTTAAATGCAAGGAGCGCGAGTATTGGGTGTTCAGTGATTGTGATCGACCATCTACTTCCTCACAACCTGGCGAGGGGGGGGGGATTCTGATGCAACTATGTACTGTGTATGTGTGTGTAAGTTAGCCTGTCGTCATGGGGAGAGGTGCTCACTAATATGCATCATGTCGTTGTTCCTGCTGTAGACAATCGTGACGCGATCAGACTTTCCTCTTGGCCCGCCCCCCGTTCCCGGATACGTTGTTTGTGTTTGTGTCTGAATGCGAGCAAATCATAACCTGAGCAGATGTTCTTACGGGCTCTCTGAACACACACTCGCCACACAGCTGGACAATGGCTTGGGACGGCTCAAATTGGGGATGTTCATGCAGGTTGTGTGTTTTTATTCTAATCTCCCATTTTAGAACAAATCTTTGAAAACACAGTGGTAGTGGACTCTTTTTTTAAAAATAAGGTTTTATCTCAGCCCACTATAGTCAAACGATACGGTTGGTGATATCCTAAAGTTTTGATGAAGTCAGCAAATCAGATAAAATGGCCGACAACGTCTCAACACCGTCTGTGGTTCTCGTTGTTCTCGCCGAACGGAGCGCTTATGTAATAAGTAGCATCTGAAAACATGCTAAATGTAGTATTTCGTTGAGGACTCCTCTCAGTGGAGGGTTTGGTGTGTGTACAGCAGCAGAAGAACTCGAGGTAAACTGGAGTGGACAGTTGATCCAAGTCTGCAGGCAGATCTATCCGGCACACACAACAGCTTTTTAAATAATTTTATGGGATTTATTGACATATATGACGAATACAGCATATCACCAGCCATATCCTTTGAGTCACTAAAAATATAGGGGCATGCCATTTAAATGAAAGACTTAGTGACAACGAATATACAGGTGCTAAAGTTTTATTTATACTGCCTGTTTGATGGTGGTATTAACTTGTGTTACCACACTGTTGTGAGCTGCGGTGAAGCTTTTCAGTCCTGGTCTCTGGGACCGGCCAGATAGACAGATAGACAGATGTATCAGTGTCTGATTAGCTGGCTGGAATCAAACCCCGCAGGGCTCCGGGTCCCAAACACCAGGGCTGGATAACGCTGACCTGCGTGGTAAATGTTTACAAATCCGTGTGTTCCGTGTGAGTCCGTGTAAACAATCCTAAACGCAGGTCAAAGTCACTCAATAACTGCACTAAAGCCAATCGTGGCGGGACAGGCCTTACGGAGAGGAGACGAGTGGACACTTTTTTCAGACGACGGCCCGCCTGAAACAAAGTCTGAATTTAATTTGGGATGAGACGTCAGACAACGCAGCGAAAACCACAGGGGAGCTAATCGCGTGTTCAAGGGGAAAAGCCAATACTGGTAACCATTGTGAACAATTTTTTTTTTTTTTGGAGTTGTGGAAGTCAGTCAAAAGCCTACAGTCTTTCTGTCTACAGAAGTGCATCATTACATTAAAGCACGCACTCTTTATGAAGTTATACAGTAAATATTTCATGAGCAGACAGTTGTATGTGACCAAACGGATCTCACGCCTTCTAATAATTGATTTACAACAAAGAATGCTTGGAGGAAAAACAACAGAACAAACGATGGAGTGGATTTGGATTGGTTTTATTTTGTATTCAACACCGTTTTCAGAGGGGACTGTCGAGGTTGGTCAGGACTTCCTGTGCAATATACTTTATTTCTATATCAAAAATAAACCAGACAATTTGACTTCTGTACACATTTTAAATGTGTTATTCATTCAGTCTTTCTTTACTTGTTTTATTGTCTGAACCTGTTTAGCTCAATGGAGATTTCTGAAGCTGTTTGGATTTGATCAAACCTGAAGTCAACGTGTGATGTGTCACGGCCGAGGCTAAACAATGTTTGACCTGTTCATATAGACCCTCTATGGGGGGGGTTAAACTGCAGGCATCTGTGCTTTTTGCCCCCGAAAATGCTGAGCGGCCCATTACATTCTTATTATATACATTCTACATATAACACATGTCGTACACAAAAGTCCTGCATGTTTCCAGCTATGTTTCCAGTCAGTGGAAGGCCGAAATGAATGTGACACAAGTTTCCGATTTCAAACTCTTTATCTCCTCTCGTAGCTACTGTATGTGGCACTTATTAGCCCCCCAGGTCTTTGAACCCAGCGGTCCCCCCGGTTCTGCTTCCTGTTGAAATGCAGAGCGCTGGATCTGCCCCAGCCGGCCTGTCTGATAGCCCTCATCGTCTACTTCACCGGGCGCTCTGAAGCCGTGGTGCCACTGGCTGTCAGACTACCTAATGGGATGTGCGGCTGGTCTTTTTTTGGGGGGGGGGGGCGTCCCATGACTAGAAAGCGTCTCACCCTGAACCCCAGCTCCCAATCTTGGCCTCTGCCACCAGCGGCGGCCTGGCAGTTTGTTCCCGTCTGTCACCAGCCCCGTGCTATAAAGCCAGCGTTATCTGCAGTGTTAAGTGCAGCCCACAGACGGAGGGTCAGCTTAAAGTGAGGCACCAGAGACACCCTGTCCCGCCTGGCCCCTGCCGCACACAGGAAGCCGGGCTGTGCCGGGGTCCACTCCCCCCCCCCCCCCAGCTCTGTCTGGACCCCGGGGCCCGAGCCTCGGCCTGTGACACAGGCGCTAATGCAAGAAGACCCTCGGGCCAGATGACTCACTAATTTCCCCTCAGGACCCGGGCGATCCCCGTGGCCCTTGAGAATCAGGCTGGGGATTTGTTTCAGAGTGATTTGTTTTGTCTCGTCTCCACCCACCCACCCACATCGCCTCTCAAGTTCTAGTTCTCAGCTCCCAGCGGGAAAAGAAAGATGCAATAAATGAGCACAAGTCCATGGAGGAAATAAGCTGTTGCTGCAGAACGTGAACTGATGGAAGAGAACGCGACAAGTTGGTTTTCCTGAAAAACTCTTATCGGGAGGAGTTGCATCCTTCTGTAAAATGCAGTATGGCCACAGTCATGATTTGTTGGGCCCCATAATCTACTCGTCTGATGAACAACTCATTCAGTGTGACCTCCTCAGTGCGTCACGCTTGCAGACATGTCGCTTGATTCCCTTCCAACGAGGGTTTAATTGAGTGACACACACGCGCAGTGCAAGCTGACTGGGAGCAGAATACAGAGCCGTCAGCACGGACCGCCCCGAACGCCGCCGACGAGTTAAACAATGATGGAAGCGCGTGTGTCTGTGTGTGTGTGTGTGTGTGTGCGCGCGTGTGCGGGCGTGTGTGTGTACTGTATATGTACAGTGCATCCGGAAAGTATACTTTTTCCATATTTCGTTATGTTACAGCCTTATTCCAAAATATCATGAAGGAGTCCTATGAGCTAACCATTAGCAAGGCTCCCTGAGGGGGCGTGATTTCATGTGCAAAATGTGGTTAAGATATTTTAGACCCATCCCTAAAGCTAAATAAGTAGATTGGTAAAACCGTTTCCTAATAATATGTATACTTCTAATGAAATGGATATGAACCTATCACTGATGTTTGAAAGGGAACAAAAGTATTTGTAAGTTGACAGAAAGGTAAATGTTTTTTCCAAGAACTCAACTGTGACCATTTTTAAATGCACTTAAACTGCAATATCATAAAAATAATAATCTTGTATTTAAGGCCTCGTTAAACAAAAATGGAAATTTCACCTGGTGTGAAAGCTCTGTGAAACTGAAAGAAACCTCTCCTTGGAGTTTGACACTATATATATATATATAATGGTGTGTGTGTGTGTTTTTTCCTTTAAGACAGGACCAATATAAGAGTTGGAGCTTTAGGAGATTAGTCAATGGGCTTTCCAACATACAAACTTCTGCATTTTCTTTCATTAGAACAGTTCATTTTATTCAATATTTCTCCCAATAAATCAGTGATACACATCCCAAAAGAGTTAAAAAATGTTTACCTCTGCCACTAATTATTGCAGGACCTAAAAGAAGACTGATGCATCAGTGTTGATAATGCATTTTAATACGTCAATAATCATAGGGGCCATTTTTGTGCCAAAGCACTTCTAATATCGAGACCCTAAAGTAGGCGTACGTTTATAATAAATGGTAAAAGTGGTTAAATGTCTCAACCATGGAAAAAGAAACGGTTCTCCGTGCGGTTGTCCAGCCCCACCCTTTTAACGGTGATATATCTCCCCCGCGTCAGGGTGCGTTTGCGGCCTAATACGCTGAGAATGAATTGGTTAACAATGAACAGACACACGAGCCTTTTAACCTTTCAGCTCATATCAATCCGCGGGACAGCGAGCGTCATCTCCAGGGTGCGTGCAGACCGCCGCCCGAGTATTTTCTTATGATCTAATTAACGCAACTGTCGCCAACACCTGCAGACGGTTAAAATGATCCAGTACCCACGCGCGGACGCACGCGTCTCTGCTTCATTAATGCGAAGGCACATTTCCACTTATTTACAAAGGCTCACTCCACTAAATATAACCCGCCTCGGGACGTCGGTCAGCGCGTCACAACAAGTAACTTTACCCCTTCCTTTTTTTCTCTTCTTTATTGAGTTGGTTGACGGGTGTCCTGTTTTTTACCCGTTTGTTTTTGGGGGGGGGGGTTAGTATAAAATGAGGGACGGGCAGACCGGCTGGACACTCTTCATCCGGACCAGACCCCGCAGAGGTACTACATCTTTCATTTCTATACGTTGCACTACGACTTCTTCAGCTCTGTATTTATTTATGCTTTACTTTCCGCAGGTGTCATAATGACTATTTGGTGCACCGCCTGCCAGTGTGACGTCAGTGCTCCGTGCACGTCTCATCTCGTGCCCGAGCATCAGCGCAGCTCCTTCTGCAGGAGGTTCAGGTCAGTGACTCCTCGGCCTCGCGTCCTCTAGCGGCTCAATCAACACATGGTTGTCTGCAAAATGTGCAAGACCGCGCGGCCCGCAGTGCGCGTGCACCACGGGGAGCACTTCATCCAGTTTACTACCGCCACATATATGATGTATTGGAACCGCGATGCTGATGCATGCATATACTATATGTACATATATGTGTATATGTATATTGGGAATCCAAGCGTTTTTCCTTGTTCCCACTATCTGGATGATTTGGTGGGAATTTAAAATATTTCTGCATAGGCTATTTATCTGTGGCACAATTTTCATTTTTTAATTTTAAAGTCCATCTCAAACATTATTTGGATGGATCTCTATTGTTGCGGTGCCGGGATTCAAACTGGCAGAAGTCTTCTTTTGTGGCACTTTGTGTGTCCTTGAGGCGTGGGTGCGTCGCTGCGAGGACACCCACTTCACGAGGCAATGAAGGGAGCAGCAGTAGCCCAGCCTCCCCTTTGTGTGTGACGCCCACGCTGAAGCCCTGGCAGCTATAAAAGCCCCCGGCTCTCTGTGAAGGGCCCAGACAGATCCTGATCACGCAAAGTCCACTGAGAGCCCTCCTGTCTGCTGCGGACACAACGGCCTCTCATATCAGCAGTTTCCATAGGAACCCTGGAGGAGGAGACACAGAAGCTTGATCAGTTTAGGCTAATTACTTCTTTTTGCCTTTATTTGATTTCGCCCCCCCCTCACTCTGCCCCTCACTGGTGTTGAGGAGGAGGGTCACCTCAGACAATTTTTTTTTGTCATCTAGATGTAGACAACTCCGTCTCCCTAGATTTAGATTCTTTAGTTATCTTCCAAACCCCTGACCTCAGTCATGGTCTCCCACAGATCCACCAAAGGAGCGTCCAAAGCCCGGCGGGACCACATCAATCATGAGATCAGGAATATGCGCGCTCTGTTGCCCACCACCCTGGAGGACCAGGAGCGTCTCTCCTACCTGCACTCCATGGCCGCCATCTGCGCCTACATCAGGAAGTCTGTTGTCTTCCAGGGTAAGGCGTCACACTCCGGTTGCAAGTCCTCCTGTGATGTCTTTGATCCGCTCATCTGCATTCTGCCCCCGTCGCTGTTAATCTAAAATGTGACAAAGTTCCCGGCACCGCGGGGAGAGCATCAAAGCTGAAACTCTCAGAGATGCTTAGAGTGTAAACCGAGGCTCACCTCACTCCTTCCTCCCACAGGACTCCCGACTGGGGCGAGATCACACTCTCCGCCGTACGAGGCCTTTCTTCAAGCCCTGCACGGCTTCATCCTGGTCACCACGGCACAAGGGAGGCTGGTCTACGTGTCCGAGAATGTAGACCAATACCTCGGTCTGTCCATGGTGAGTCGCTTTGGACATCTGCTGTTTAGTGTAGTTGACGTTGGGCTTTCTGGTTTTGTGTCTAACCAGCGTTTTTCATTTTTTCAGATAGACGTGCTGCAAGGAGACACTTTCTACGACATGGTGGAACGCTCGGACATTGATGTCGTGAAAACGCACCTGGAGATTGAACACAACTCGCCATCAGGTAACTTTATTGTTTCGTTTTGAACTGGGATCACTGTCTCAATGTTGCCTGCATGTTGCCTATTTTTCTTTATTCATAGTAAAGCTTCTCTGTCGTCTTATTTGATCTACTGAAAGGCTAAACTGAACCGCTGTGTTTCTGCAGAGAGGAGCTTTATATGCCGTATGCAAACCTCCAAGGCCTTCAAGCTGCGTCACGGCAGCTGCTGTTCCATGATGGTCAAAGGGAGCTTCAAGAGGTTCCCTCAGCCGTGGCAGCCCTCCTCTTCAGCCCGTCCCACCAGCCAGCCTCTCTTTGTGGCCCTCTGCACCCCCACGGTCGACCGGCTGCAGAGCTCCGACTCCCCCTCCTGTGACAGCTTCCACAGTGTCCACGGACTCGATATGACCTTCACTCAGCTGTCAGACAGGTACGTTCACAGAGCCCCTTTAGACCGATGCAGCATAGATGTTGTTGTACTGGTCACTGACAGACAGTTCTGTGTATTTCCTGTTCAGCGCCTCCTGTTTTTTGGGGTATTCGACTGAAGAAATGGCCGGTCGATCATGGTACAGTCTTGTCCACCCTGATGATCTTTCCTTGAGTGCCGATTCTCATAGAAGTTTGAGTAAGTGTACAATCTATTCCGGGAAAAAATAATTGCATGAAGTCTAGAGAAAAAACAACAACATTTTCACTGTGCACATTGGCATTAACGTGTGCATGATGTTCCTTCCTTGTCACGTCTAGTGCGGGCAGATGAGGGCTTCCAGGCAGAGATGGTGCTCAGACTCCAATGCAAGGATCTGTCGTGGACCTGGATCTACATCCGAGCCTACAAGGAGTCTGACTGCCAGAGCATCAGCTGCACCAACTTCATCATCAGGTATGAAGGACTCCACCTCTGGTTGACCTGAGCGCACAGTGCGTCTTTCCAGCCATGAGCATGAAATTAATCCTTTGCTTTGCTCTTGCAGTGAAACGGAGGCCCGATTTCTCCAGAAGAAAATCACCAGCGACGCCTTCAGGCCATCGCCCACGCCGCATTTTGCAAGTCAGGAGGTGCCTCACGCCGAGACCTATGGCGACCCCAAGTGTTTTAAAAGACGGAGGACGTCCAGCGGGCAAAGCGAGGAGCCGGGCCACAAGGCCAGGAGGGCGAGCGAGCAGGACTTCTGCCATGTGGCGAGCGCCTCCTCCCGAGGCGACGGCTCGCCCGCTCCCCCTGGAGACAGCGCTGCTCTCTTCACCCCTCCCTACAGCCCAGCCTCCTCCAGCTCCACTCTGCAGCAGGAGGAGCTCAGCCGTGACCTCCTGCTGGATGTGCATGGATACAGCGATCAGCTGCTGTCCTCCCCTGAGTGCTCTCCCTCCTATTACTCGTACCCGGAGGCGGTGCTCACCTGTCACCGATCACCCTCCGGCTCCCTGGCTCAAGCCGCTGAGCAGACATTTGAGCAGGCTGCCTTCGGCGTGTTCGCCGCCCGCTCCCCAGCCTCCTCCTCCTCCTCCTCATCGCCGGCCTATGATTTCCAAGCTTGCACGGCCGACGCTCGATTAGTCCCTGACTGCCCGTCCGTGTCGGACTTGTGCGATGGCGCGGCGGACTGCGCGCTGCATCACGACGGCTTCAGCGTCCTCCAGCAGACGCAAGAGGGAGGCCTTGTCCAGGTGCACCATGTCCCCTACCACGTCTTACCCGCACATTCCGGTCTTCTCACCCCCGGCCAATCGCCCAACTCCAGCGAGACGGCACATTATAACGAGAGGGAGCAGGCAGAGATCAGCATTCTGGCTCAGCAGATCTCCTCCCTGGCAAGCAGCTTCGCCATGTACCGCACGCACGACGCCCTCCCACCCGCAACCACCAACGCGCAGCCCTCGGGCCGCGAGTGGCCCTGTCATCCTCCGATCCCCTCGGCGCTGCCTCTTAAGGGCGAGCTGGACCTCGATGACTGCGTGTTCGACAGCATCCTTAAAGACCTTGACGTGGGCGCGAGGAAAGATTGCTTTTCCCGCCCCGGCGTCGCTGCGTTCGGGGACCAGCAGGGTCTGCTGCGCTGCAGGATCGGGTCTCACGAGTCGGAGCCGGAGCCGGAGCCCCTCTGCCTCTCCCCGACCACCACGGAGGACCCGCTGTCCGCGGAGCAGTTCATCGCCATGGGACCCTTCGGTTTGCAGTTGGGACGCCATGACCGAAACACTGGGTTGCATCAACTCAACCGCTATATGCAGAGTCCCCTTCAGCAAGGTAGTGTGCGCCAAGTCAACAGGTCATATGGTTGTCCGTTGTATCACCGTAGGTTACATTCCACTAATGTTGTTCTCCTGTCTCTTTTCAGATGAACTTGCAGAAGAAAACCTGTACTGAAATAAGTCTGTGACTTACTGTGCTGCCACTTGTATGACATATTGTCAGGGCAACCTTCCTCTCGCTGGATGCAAAGACCTTTAGAGGACATCTTTGCAGTAGGACCTGCTCTTAAAAGACTTCGGCTTTGTCTTTATGTCTCAACACTGCTGCCAACTGTGTTTTAAGTTTTTATCTGTGTCTTATATTGTATGAGGTACCTGTTTTACATCACTTACGTACTGAAATGGAGGTGGATTTTTCTCCAATACAGAGTGACCACAGTTTACTATTGAGCACTTTATCAATGTCGTTGCCGTGAGGATTTTATAAACGAGAAGGAGGGCTGATTTAAAAGGAATATTAACTGTTGTTAATGTTTTAAAGCTACCCGCATGAGCTTGAACGCATAAATCTTTCCTCGTGACAAAGAGCCATTTCGAAATGTTTGCTTTCCGGTGCCTTAAGAACACGAGGGGAAGAGACAAATCAGTTTGCAAAAACAATATTCGTCTGTTTGTGAGTGGGCCATTGATGCTTTCTTGTGAATAAATGAATCATTAAGGAGATGATTGTTGGTTGAACACCTACCTCATCGGTACATTAAATACATTCCAAGTCTGAAATATATTTATTTTGAACATGACACTTAAATGTTTTCATTTTACCGCATTGTGAATCTTTCTTTCATCTTTAATGTAATGGTACTGCACATGTCTTAATGTCCAATGTTATACCTGATGTTTTTAATGTGAATAAATTGACTGAAAAATCCGTTGTGTCATGTTGGTATGAGTGAATCCTACATTTCTCAAATTACAGTCTCCTGTTAGCAGACTTTGTATTCGCCTAAACACAATCTAATTACTGTCAATACAGTCGGTATATCTGAGTTTCCTCCACCAATATGAAGCTTTATTCTGGCTATTTTGTTTGACCACTTGGGGGCCAACAGACCACACGTATTGCGTCATCGCTTCATGTTGGTCATCAAACACACACCAACAACCGCATTCATTCATTCATAGCCGTATCTTTGTCCATCTCAGGAATAATCTTTTATATGTATATTTCTATATGAGTGAAGTATTTGAATATTTAGAGGCTAAATGCTCCGGTGTGTTCACCATGATGTGTGTCTGCGTTTAAAAACGGCTACACACAGGTTGTCAAAGCAGGACGTACACTTGTGTTGCATAAACTGGGAATTGGCTGCGTAGAGCTGAGGATTAAGACTCCTTTCACATGACACTTCACTTGAGCCATTTGATTAGTAGTACATCTTTTCTAAAAAATACACATTTTTGTAGGAACCTTTATTCATATTACATGGGTCCACTGTATTATTTCTACGAGCACTTTCTCCTCATCTGACCAGATGGCTAAATGGCTAAACAGCTCAGCTCAACATCTAGTGAGCTCTCCAATGCTCCATTGATTTACATCTTGTGGCTGGTCATACCAATGAGAGCATATAAACTGTATACAGGGAAAATCAATTTTACGTCCTGGGACAAATATGCAGACGCAATGCATACATGAATAGTTAGACGAAGAAGGGAAATGACCGAGGTGGAAGATGGACCGTGTGCATGAGCACGCAGCTCTCAGGAGGCATCGCGGACGTGCTGCTGCTGGTGCACTGCGTGCAATGCAGGGTCCACATTGTTTTCTCACCCATGTGGGTCAGAACGACCACTAGATGGAGTGATAGCTCCAATCGCCTCCCTGTAACACACATATCCAAATGCCACGAGTGGAGTATTATTCAAGCAAGGTTTAAGAAAGTGAAGGAGTGTGTGCATGTGCACGAGTGTGTGTGTGTGTGTGGGAGATGGAACAAAAGGACATCATTTGGTCCGTTCATGGGCAAACAGTCCAGATGCCTATTCTTATCCATGGAGACCTAATTAAGAGTGATGTCTGTTGAAGGGTATAACGGCAAATAAAGTTCCTAACAAGTCTCAACATCTGCTCTGTGCGCCAGTCTTTCTGCATCACTCAGCGTTACCTGGAATGATAATGATTTCCCCGGAGGCACAAGGACAAAGAGTCCAGGGCACCGGCGCATTTGTCCACACCAGGGAGACGGCAAAAATCCACATTATTTCTTCTCTCACGCACAGTGAACACTCCCAGCAACCTCATGTCTCTGCACATAACACAGACCGACAGTAGAGACAGTGTGGCGGTCTTCCGTTGCTGTGGATACGTGATGATTATTATTCCATCAGCCTTGTGTGTTAAATAGTTTGGTGAATCTTCACTGAAAAAAACAATGAAAATATGATTATTTTAACTGTAAGTGGTAGTGGGCCTAGAACTGCTGCTTGCGTGAGACAACGATGTAAAATATCAAAGGCAGCGCTCCAGCCGCGTCCCTGATGTTAAATTGACATGTTGCGAGATTAGATTAACAAACTGATGAATGATTCATATCTGAGGTGCCAGAGCGGCTGAGGACGATACCAGTCTTCGCTAGAGCTGACGAAAAAAGAGAAACACAGGTAAAACTGTCACCTGCCCCACTTCAGCCGCTTCCAAAGTGCCTCCTCGGGTGGATGGTTGCAGGGCGGATGCTGAAGGAGAAGCGCATCAGTGCAGTTAAACAGAGCAACTCGTGGATGGGATTCACAAGCAGCCAGGTTCTCATATCCTGCCTCGCCGGTGGCTTCTGGCGAATGATTACCTCATTTACTTTTGAGAACGACTCTCCAAATTGAAACTTTCACTGATTTCAGACAACAGGGCCTCAGGTGGCACCGCCGTGTCTTCGTTTTATCTACCGGCTTCATGCTTTTATTGTGACGGCGAACCGGGCTTGAGGGCTCTGCTGAAAGCTTATCTCGGGGTTTCATTCTGAAATAGATGAAGATGTGGAAAGCCAGAATGTGATTTGTTTATTCTGCCCGGGGATTGTTTGGCGGATGGAAGCGATGACACGGGCGATAGCCGCCAAGGTCACGGAAAGGTTGTCATGAGGGACGCCTCAGCTCCTATTGTATGTTAACCAGAATCTGCCTTTTCACTTGATCAGGGTGTAATTCATTTTTAGCTTGTCTCAATTATTCAGGGATGAATCGAATTTCCATTTCTATAGCTTTGTTGTTCCACCTTTCAAAAGAGGCACCTGACTGGCGTTGGTGCAGTCAGCACACATTACACTGGAATTGGGTTAAACAAAAACACCCAAAATAGACTCCAGCCCTTTCCTGTTGCAGAACCCCAAACCAAAGCTGTGATCTGGGAACACTGGATGCCAGTCAATACATCTCTTTTGACATTCACGGGAGAAAGAACAGCCAACCAGGGAGAGGAATACAAATGGTGTCTTAACAACAGAGCCTACTTGCATATGAATGTTTGATTCAGGTACCTTTCCTTCTCTTGGAGGAATTTGCTGCTTAAGGCAAAGCGCCTGTGCACAGAAGAGACAAAAGCATCCCGCTGTCAAAATTTGCTCAACACATTGTCCTTTGTTGATGGAGATTCTGGTATATTGGAAAACACATTTTCTCATATAAGATTTTCCATTGGGGGCTTAGAGTACGTGCCTGGGTGTATTTTCCGTTACAGAAATCCCAAACTGATTTTCATGGGTTTACGTTTATTTTTTCTGCAGCAGCAATACTGCTGGACGGGAAAGTCTTTCAATGTGTTTCGTATTTGCCCCCCACAAGCTCAGCGTTCAGAAAAATGTTAGCTTTGTGCTGGAATTCCACACAGCAGCACGTTGGTGGATCTCTGCGAGACACGGATGGATTTTTAAAGCGCCCTGGTTGTTTGTGCAGTAATGACGACTATTTTAAGTATTTACAGAAACTGGCAGTGATTGCTAGTAATTACTCGTGCGTAGCTGTACAGCCAAAGGGCCATAACATACAGTATATGGTCCATATAGGGGGAGTGCATCATAAACATGTTTATTTCGTGCACTCGTGTAGAATCCCAGGGGGCAAAACAAATAGACGTGAAGGAATGTATCTTACGGAAAGTTCAGAGAAGCTTTAAAATAATTAGAGGGCAATTAAGTGAGATGCAATTATAAACAAATTAATCAACAATTAGAATCATATCAAAAGGTATTCATGAATGCCAAATAATTGATGCATAGACTTTTTAAAAATTAGTTTCTGATTAAATAATGGAATGCATTTGATGACCCAGTTTCTAATGGGTAAATAATCCGATGGATCTTTTTTCCAGGGTTGATGGACGATCAGGGCAAAATGACTAATCCTGCTATGGCGAAACCATAAACCAGCCCCCCCCTCTGATTGGCTTCTGTTTGTTGCATTTGTTGGTGAGTTTTGTAAAAGTGAATGTCCCACTTGATTCTTATTATTTTAAAAAGGAAGTTTTTAATCATTATTGTTTATTATTGCAAGCGAGCGTCCCCGGACACCTCAACCACAATCTACTGTTTTATTTGTATTACTCAACCTTTGGTAACACACTGCTAAGCAACGCTTCATGCATTCCATGTGTCATCTTAACAGGTTTCAACTTCTTTTGTTTTTTGTGTATGTGTGAAAAACACAGGCCGGGTCCTGGTGGGATCCAAACTAGCGCCTTTGTAGATGTACAAAATGTTCCAGAAAAAAAGATCATTGTGCAAGATTTATTCATGAGGACTTATTCCCTCTTCATATCGCAGGCACAAGTGTTGCTGCACGCAAGCTCAAGGAATATTACAATGGAGACGGCACAGTGGAGCGCCGCTGTGTCTATGGTAAACAAATTGAATCTCAGCATTCGGGACAATGTTGTCATAATCCCAGTTATTTTTGTTTTGTTTAAGATCTACTATTTAGAACAAATGACAGTGAAATAAAGATATGCATATGGGCGTGCTCATTATGAAATGACCATACAATGCAGAAACTGACGACCTCGCTCAGATTTAGAGAGAAGAAAAAGCTATGTTCTGCACAATGAAGTTCATCATCTTTTGTCTGGATTACAATGCCGAATATTTTTTTTACATCAATGATTTACAATTAAATATCCTTGAGGCTGGGTCTTGTTCATTGGTACCTTTTATCCATCTTCTATCTTATCCTGTAACTCGATCATGCAAAATGTAGAGACCATTTTAAAATACAAGAGGGGACAAGAACTATCCATTTTGCTGAGCTCTATTTAGCTCATTCCAGCGCCCGCTAACGTTAAGTCGCTAAGTTATTAACCGCTTATTAATCCTGCCATTTTACTCTCAGATAAATTTGCTGCCTTAGATCCTCGAGCGGTCGCGCACTGAGGTCATGCAAACATCCTCCCTCAGACCACACGGCTTGCGAAACTGTAAAATATCTGTACTATGAGAGGAATAAAAAAAGCGTGAGCGATAATGTATTTCAGGCTGACTGCTAAATGTTAAATTAAGATGTAATAAGAAAGTCAAATGAACATAGATCGTCAATAACGATTCCACGCGGCTAATCAAACATTATCTCTTTGGGTTTTGGCAGTTGATTTGAATTGAATAAACCATATTTAGGGTGAAAGCACTGACACCCCACACATAGTCTCGTGAGCCTTGCTCTCATACATCTCAGCTCCTCATGAGGTTTTTCAAAATCCCGAGCTAGAACAACACCGCTCGCCAAACTTTCTCTTTCTACATGCGTTCGCTGCTTGACTTCTTTGTGCGCCTCGGCGAATGTCGTGTTGTTTTTCTCTCTCTAATCTGAGGGTTGTGGCTCCGGCTGCACAGGTTTGCCTTTCTAATGGGACTTGTGATGATGAGGCCTTGTCACCAGGATGATTTATAG